ATATATATATATAATAAAATGTACATTTATTTTACATTGTTCTTTTTACATGCACTTCATTTAGTAACAGTGAATTGTGCATATGCAACTAACTCTAAACCAAACCCTATTCCTAATCCTGACCTTACAGTAAGTAAGTTTTTAATTATTACTCATTATTTCAATGTATAATTTCACTGTAACAAGGACACACCTTAACTTAAAGCCAAATTAATAACTGAAATGAATGAGGTTACATTTACCTTTATGTGTGTGCTGCACCGATTCCTCCAAACCGCTAGGTGGCGTTTGATGTCCATCCTTTGACACCACCAGGTCTCTCTGTTTCTCCATCTCCTTCCTAGATTCTGGTCCTCTCTCGTTTTCCATGTGCATGTTTACCTGAGACTGCAGCTGCGCGTGTGGTTGCGCAGCTGCGGCTGAGGGGGTCTTCTCTTGAGGCGATGAGGATGATGCTGGAACTGATGTGGAACTTGCTGTGCTTTGTGGCAGGGCTGTCACTGACACAACTCCTCCGGCTAAACTGACGCTGGGGTAAATGGCGGTCACAAGTTGACGGGTGGCCGTCGAGGCTTGTGCAGGTTGTGCCAGTCCACTCGGGGGCGGGCATTGAGCCAGGAGAGGTGGCTGACCTGTGGTAGAAATTTGATGATGTTTGTCATGCAGTGTTAAATATGTGTTGATGGTTGAAAGAACTCTCAGTTATAACACTCACTTGCAACAATAGGTTGAACCAAGGCCTGACTGGCTGGGGCAATTGCAGTGAAGCCAAGGGTCGCCACTGGAGATCGCAAAAAAGATGGACCCGCAGATGATGGGGTCTGGTGGGTGGAAGAGACTGCAGGTGTTGAACCCAATGGCAAAGGAGCTGCAACTCCAGGAGTTGACTGGACATATGTGATCCTGTGCAACAAAAGCACAGCAGAAGTTAGATTTGAGACACGGTGACTTTTCCCAAGTAAGACATGTATCTGGATCTCTCTTTACACTCCTGTCAAAGAAATAAACTCCTAAACCTAATTACTAAAATCAGAGGATTAACAATTTATAAAATGGTATAAAAGTGTTCATTTTTACACCATTATTTTAGTTTTAGACAGTTTGTGTTTTTTGACAAAAAAGTCCTTTCAGTGTAGATATTTAGTTGCATCATGCCATATTCAAAACTGTAATTAATTTCACTTAGACTGAAATGGCATATAATTTTAGAAATGACAATTATTCATTCCATAATTATCATAATCCTTTTTATTCCATTTTTGTTATCAGTGACAAACTTTTTTTTTACTTTTTTCCGAGTAACATATTTGTCAGTAATTTTCTTATCATTTGGTGCCTATGATTAAAAATTAAAATATTTAATAAAATAAAAAAATGAATAAAAAAAAAATACATATATATACACACACACATATACATATAAAATACATTCTTAAAACATTGTTAAAACAGTGCATTGCATTAAATCTTGCAGTGTTATTTTGTAACAGTATGACCGTATTAATAGCATGTTTTCAGTAAAATCCTTTAATTATAGTCCTAATTATGCATCTTTTTCATTCCATCTTAAGATAGTTACTAAATTTTTTAGTTGACAAAAGTTTTTAACGTTTGACGCCCATGGTCAAAATTCATTTATTATTATATATAAGGCAAAGAAATAATCTTCATTTTTGTTATTGTATAAAAGAATATAAAGATTTTTGTCTTCTAATAAACAAACAGCGTTAGTACATTGTTAAATCAGATGTTGCTTGAGGACCAACAAGGATGTTGATCCAGGATCATGTCCTACTTGACACAGTCACTAGAAGTTTAGACTGTGTTATGTTTCAGTGCTCAGATGTCTGGCAGCAGTTTTAAAGAGACAGTGGGAAGTAAAGTACCTTGTAGGTGGTGGCGTCAAGAGCACCGTCTGAGGAGGGTAGGGCCCAGGGGCCATGACAGTCGCCGTTGGCATAGAAACAGGAAACGAGTTGCCGGTATGCACTGATCCTCCAGGATGCACATTTGCTTGGACCACAGGCATTGGTGCAATTTGAATGATCTGAAAAGCAAAGAAGCGCATGAACCCGAGACATCTGTTGCAAATACAATAAATGCTTCTTGTCCATGTAGCGGGATAGTAACTTGAGCCGATCTACCTTACTTCCTGGTTGAGTCCCATTTTGAACAGGAAGGGGTGGACCCACCAGGGAAATTGGCTGCGGAGGTGTAGATCCTGTTCCGACTGTTGCCATGGGAACCAACATCTTGCTCTGCAAGACTGGGGACTGCGCTTGAACTGTGTAAAGAGATGAAAAGGACTGATATAGTAGAGACCGAGAATAGACTTGATAAACTCATTTCCCTAACACTGTGTGCATAATCCTGATCCTTGTAAGCTTGGGAAACCTCATTAAATCTGTTGAAAAGCATCAATAAAGCTCACATTGCCTTGGATGAGGACACATCAAATAATATATAGGGTTCCCACATGTTTTGAAATGAATTTCACTGACTTGTTCATGAATGAGTCATTTGTGAAATGGTTCGACTGAGTCAATGAAAAGAACC